AATAAAATGTTCCACAAACTGAGGTAAATACATGATATCCATTATGGCCGTAGGCTAACATAGTTTGATCCATGTGTCTCAGACAGGGGTGGTGTTGCTAATAAGGTTGATGTTCAAAGCACAAATAATAAATAATAAATAAGATTTCACCCAGCTATACTTTGTCACTGGTATATAGCTCCATTCTCTAAGACAGACATGGCAAAAAATGATAAGACTATTTTCACAGATGACAAAATTGAGACTAGGAGAGGTTAGTGATCTGTTGAAAACCACATTGCTAGCATTTGGCAAGGCTGAGACTTGAAACCAGGTTTTAGTTTTGTTGTTGTTGAAAAAAAAAAATCTAAGTTAAAACCACAGAAAAATATTCTGGAGAAAATGATTTACCTTGTGTTCACCAAGCCAGGAATCTGAACTTATTTATTCTTTGGGGAGCAGAAGGTATGTTTAGGTTAAAATTTCAAGGCTAATTCCCTACCAGCCTTGAAATGCTTCATGTTCTAGATTCCTCCATGGTCAACAGTAAGTTGGTACATGACAGACCAACCAATTCTACATCCATCAAGAATTAGAAAAAAATCATGTTTTATGTCTATATAATGAATATCTGAAGATGTTACATCTAGCCTTAGCAATGAGAGGTGAGGATTGTGTGTGAAGAGAATGAAGATAGAACTGTCTAAGGCATCTCACCCTTGACACATTAGCTATGAATTAACTATTTTTGTATGTTAAGAGTAAGCTATGATAAAAATGAAACTAAACTTTTCACAGTTTTTGGTTCTTTACACAAAATCTTTAGATAGGGTCTATAAATCTAGTTTTTAGAAATATCCTTTCTGCTAAAAAAAAAAAATCAAATTGTATTGTTTAACTTCATTTCTAAGACCATTTCAAAACTAATCTCTGATATTTAGCTAGTGCAACTTCTCCCAAGAGATATTATGGAGATATTAAGGCAAATAATCCATTATGGGTCCCTGTAATGCTCTAAAATACACCATAGCCCTTGCTTTAAGGAAGGAAAGTGTTTCATCCAATGTGATTTATATGCTTTTTTAAGTTCACCTGGAACCTCTTTTTCTAAGTCTTTAAAGAAGTTTCATTTTAGTTTGTTTTTTTTTTAAATTTGTTTGTTTCTATTAAAAAGTTTAGGTGTGTGGGCTATACAATAGTTTTCTGCTTTCTAAATTATTTTGTTCTTTATATTTCTGAAAAAAATTAGTGTAATCACTGTATCCGTTAGTTCTAAAACGGAGATGTGTACTGTATGGTAGTGGGTGTGGTTTATAATTATGTAGTATAGTGGCTAGGGCACTGACTCTGGAGCTAGCCTGCATAAGTATCAATCCTGGCTTTGCCAATTTAGTAGCAAATCATAAAACAAAGGAAACTCTGTATTCCTCAGTTTAAGGAGCCCTGGTGATGCAATGGTTGGGTTAGTACTTGGTGGCTTACCAAAAGGTCAGCAGTTCAAATCGACCCAGTGGCTCTGTGGGGAGAAAACAACTAGTGGCCTGCTCTTTTGAAGATTTGTTATTGATGTTAGGGTACCATTAAGTCAGTTCCAACACAGAACAACACTGTGAACAACAGGAAACACTAACCAGTCCTGTGCTAGCTTCACATTGTTGGAGCCACTGTGCCAATCCATCTCACTGAGGGTCTTACTGTTTTTCAATGACTCTCTGACAAGGTGCTGCAGGTTAATGCACTGGACTGCAAAGTTAATTTGAACCGCAAGGTTGGTGTTTCAAGTTCACCAGCTGCTCCTTGGAAACTATAGGTCAGAACCGACTCGATGATTCTTAACAACAACAGTTACCAAGCAGGTCCTATTCCAGGAACTCATCTCTTCTAATAACATGGCTAAAGTACGTGAGACTAAATATGGCCGTTCTCACTTCTAAGGAGCATTCTGGCTGTACTTTTCCCAAGACAGATTTGTTCATTCTTCTGGCAGTCCATGGTAAAATCAAGATTCTCCCCCTAGGAAAGATTACAGCCTGTGAATCCCTAGGGATCAGTGTTACTCTGTCACATGGAATTGTCTTGACAGCACAAAACAACAGCACATTCTTTAGTTTATTCAGCTGTAAAATGGAGCTGACAATAATACCTACTGTAGAGACCTGTTATGAGAACCAAATTAGTTAATATTTACAAAGTAATTATAATGGTCTGGGCTCATAGAAACACAATTTAAATATTTGTTAAATAAAACGGAATATGGTAACTGTGGGCCTAGACTTTGTGCTTTTATTTTTTTTATTTTTTAAATGGGAACTTTAACTCATAGGCTATACGAATGCTAATTTAATGACAGTAGCAATTGTTGCTCAAAAATTCTTTAAAAGAAAGTAAGTAGAAATTGCTATAAAGATAAATATCATCATAATCAATGTTGTTGTTGTTGTTAAGTGCTGTGGAGTCGGTTCCAACTCATAGCGACCCTACACAGGGTTTCCGAGGCTGTAAATCTTTACGGGAGTAGATCACCTCATCTTTCTCCCGTGGAACCACTGGTAGTTTCGAACTTCTGACCTTGCAGTTCACAGCCCGATTTGTAACCACTACGCTACCAGAGCTCCTTATAATCAATAGAAGGTAGAATAATATTCAACTAATTCAGCTGCTCTTCGGAAATCCTGTACAGGGTCACTATGAATCCAAACTGACTAGATGGCATTTACAGCAATAGCAATATAAAATAGTGGGATTTGATCAAACAAGTTATTTTCTTTTGGAACTTTTGGCCATAGATAGGATGAGTAGTCTTTTCATGGCAGAATAAACTACTTAATCATTATGAATACACCAGTTCTTGATAAAATAATTGGTCCATGTAAATTACCTGAGTGATATTAGAAAATACATAATCTGTGGTGTGAGAAATCACTTGTTTCATTATCTATTACCCATTATGCACTTTTGATTTAATTTACTTTGTTATATATTATTTTGTTGCTCTGTTAATTTAATGAATTAAACAGTTATTTATAGTTGTGATATTAGATAATAGATTTAAAGGATAATATAATTCATTTAAAATTATATTTATGAATATTATGGAATATCTACCATTTCATTTTGACTGCTATATGCAATTTGATTACGATTTATTTTTCTTCCTATAAAATTCACACAAGATAAACCAAAAACCAAACCCAATATCACTGAGTAGATTCCAACTCATACCAATCCTATATAGGGTTTCTGAGACTGTAAATCTTTACAGGAACAGATAACCTCATCTTTCTCCTAAGGAGCAACTGGTGGATTTTAATGCTGACCTTAAGGTGGTTGCTAAGTACTGTTTAGTCTATTCAGTCTCATAATGACCCTGTATATTGTTTCCATGGAGTAACTGGTGAGTTTGAACTGCCACCTTTGCAATTAGTGGTCCAAAGACCTTGCAATTAATTGTTGTTGTTATGTGCTGTGGAGTTGATTCTGACTCACAGCAACCCTGTACAGGGTTTCCGAGGCTATAAATCTTTATGGGAGCAGAAAGCCTCATCTTTTCCCTGTGGAACCGCTGGTAGTTTCGAACTGCTGACCTTAAGGTTTGCAGCCCGATTCATAACCACTATGCTACCAGAGCAGTCCAATAAATGTAATTTTTTCATTGCCTTAGAGGAATAGTAGTCATCAATATTATCTAATATATAACAATAGCTTGTATGGTACAGTGGTCTTAGCCCTTCTTTCCTTTGCATATCTATGCAAGTATGATACTGCTGCTGGGAAATTCTAATGCCAACTGAAGAAAATAAAATGACAGATTTGATGCTCTACATTTGTTGATTTTTCCAAGACAACTACTAATCACAGATCTCTTTTGGTTGCTACTTCTGCTCTTATAAATTTTTCATAAGTACCTTTGACCTAACTTTGTAGCATATCCTTCTCATCATTGTCAGGACTAACACTTTTAATAGTGGTATTTATTTGCATTTTCTCATGGAGATTTCCTTGGCCCTTTCTCTCTACAAATATAGATTTAATTGGGCAAATGTTAATTAAGACTTTACCTTAGGAAAACAGATTATACAGGTCCTCAACTTCTTATTTACAGTCCCTAATCCCTAAAATTCTGAAAATGTGAAAAAAGTAACATAATTGATAAATGGGACCTGAATTGATAGTCTACCCTATTTAGTGTAAGTATCCTTACCTTTACTATACAAATATTAGTAGTGTGTTTACAGGATGGTCCCCTGAGATCCTGATGGGTATTATATAACATATATGCTTGTACTATGTTGTTGTTAAGTGCTGCTGAATCAGTTCTGACTCATAGTGACCCTGTATAGGGTTTCCGAAGAGCAGCTGGTGGTTTTGAACTGCCAACCTTGTGGTGCTAATGCTACAGCACCACACTAGGACTCCTGTACTATATTTCTAAAATCATTCTAAAATATGGAAAAATCAGTTGGCAGCAAGGGTTACATGCAATCTGTAAGCATGATTGTTGCTTAACTCACCAAGTGAGTTAAGAATATAAAATTTATAATCGGTTATGAATGTTAATCTTCCAACTTTTTCTTTTAGATTACCTATAATCATAATACATCAATGAAATATTATTAAATTATAATAAATGATTCCAACATCCTTGAAACAATTATTGTTGTGGGTAGCCAAATTCTCATATCACATGTTTTTGAGAAATATTCGACTGGCTCCACAAGTTACTTACAGGTATTAATGATGAATTTTAAATTATCATCAGCCACCTACGTTTTATAGATTTGAGTTCAGTATCTTTGTGGGATATCTTGGGACACTAATACTACATGTTGCATCTGTATTCAATCCTTTGGGTAAGACTCTGTGACCCTCCTGGTAGAGAAAAAATTTTTATGCAGATTACATTGTTCTGGTAGTATCTTTTCTCATGTAAGATATGTCAGTTACTAATTCCTTAGCCCTTTAGTGAGAGATGTTAATGCTAAGTTGTTTCGTACAAACTAATATTTTCACTATATTTTTAGGTATTTACTACCAGGAAGTACACAATTCTTCATGAGAACACCAACTTACTACTGGAAATACGGTTCACATGGAATGACCCGCTCCAATGTTTTGTTTACACCCCGATATGGCCATTTATGAAAGAAAAAAGAAGATCACCATGGGTTATGCATAATGGCAATTAATTTTCTTTTCTAAGTTACATGTGTAAAGGAAGTGACCATTAAGTGCTATTTTATGGATATCTGACATAAATATGTGAAAATATATACATACAGGCACTCAAATAGCATATATATTTATTATAATATATGAATGAAGAATTAGCTGAAAACTCAATATAAGATTTAACCTTTCTGGAAATGTAATAAACCATGTTAAAATTGTTTACACAAATATGTGACTGTCTAGAATTTGCTAGGTTTATAATTAATTTCTTCCTACTAGAAATGTTATTTTTGTTGCAGAGTATATAAAACAGAATTGATCTTGACGACTCCATTACAGTGTTAAATTATTTTCTAGATAAAATGCCTTTTGACTTTAAAAAAAGCATTAATAGAATACTTTATTGATTCCCTTATAATAGTAGCCATTTAAAATGAAAAAAAGAAGCGATTTAGAAGCCTGATGTTGCTTAATGATAGAATTATGTAAAATGGGTTTATTATTTCTTTAGCACATTATAAAGTAGTATAAAAATCCCACCCTGACTCTCCAATATCTTTACTCCTCTGTGTCAAAATTTAGGTACTTGTAATAATATACAGGTAATATAACAAAATTTAAGTACTTGTAATAATTTTTCAGTAAGGATCTAGCAAGATCATACTATAGTTTAAAATGGAAGACAATCTACTGGGTTAAAATAGACACCACAAACTAGATTTTATTTTTTACTTTTCACTGGGAGTCATATAAAGAACAGAAAATAATGGTAATGACAAAATATTTCTCTGTGAGTTTTGAGTCTCATACCAGTCATTTTTATTTGGAAAGTATATTTTCAATGGGTACATATGGTCAAATACAGTTTCTTCTGTAGTAGTAGAAGAGATGACATTTCAAACTCATCTTGGTATTACTTACTAGACATCTCACAGTTACTGAATAAGTCTCTCATAGATGAGGTCAAGTTCCACTGCAAGGTTAATTAATAGTTTCACACTACACCATAGAAAAGAACCTAAATGATTGTGAATAGGAGATTCTTATGACTAACTAGATAATACTAGCCATTCATGTATACTGTGGTTTTTGTTTTTATTAATCAAAGTAGAATAAGAAGTTTTTTTCCTATCCAAAGTTTTATGTATAATCTACACATCAGTTTGCTTCCTTTTCTTGCTTACAGTTTCAAAAAGAGTGAGTGATCTTTCAGTTTTCCATACGAAATATAAACAGGACTGTTATTAAACTCCTCAGAAAAATGCAATTTTAGTAATTCACTTAAGCTTGTTTCCTCAACAGTTTTTTTTTTTCTCACAGATGCAAATTATTCACAGATTCATGAATGTTTTACCCCATTTACTGTCCTAAAAACAATTTCCAGTAAATCCAAGAAATGGCCCTAAAGCAGAAGGAAAACTGAAATAAACAAACTGATCAAGTTTAATTCACATGCTACCCTAAGTTGCACGTTAGATGTATTTTGCTTTTAAAGTCGTATTCTGAGGCTATGTTAGGCTGAAACAATTCATTAACTAAATCATTGCTACCTATTTTTTAATGACTACCTAATATTCATATTCCAGTAAATAGCTTTCCTTGATGCAAGCATCCCAAAGAAGAATTTGCTATTGTGTTTATGGCAAAACAGGAAAAGGATGTCAGGATGAAGAAATTAGTGTACTGCTGAGTGTTTATAAATCCATTTTGTGAATTCTTTAAAATATTATTGATTTCTTAGGATAAATAAGCAAATATTGGGATATTATAAATCACTATAAGAAATCAAGATAGATACCTAAGTGGAGTGTTTTTATTCCATTTTCTTTAACATCCATGATTGGGCCATGGATAAGACACAACAAGTGTCTGAAAGGTTGGTGGTTTGAAGTCATCCAGATTTTGTTTGTGGGAGAAAGCCCTGACAATACACTTCCATAAAGATTAGAACCTAGAAAACCCCATGGGTCAGTTCTGCTCTGTCATAAGTTGCAAGCTGACACAAGGGTACCTAACCCAACAACAAATACTGATATCAACTCAAGTTGTTGGCCACTCACTTATATTAATTAAATCACAAGTGGTTACTTAATTTACCAGAGTGAATACTTTAGGAACCTCTCTTCCTAGTTCGTGTTTTGTTTACAACAAAATATAAGAATAATGTGGGGAGAAATCCCTCTATCCTAAATAATAAACAAAAATAGCACCTAAAACCAGGAAATGTATGAAACAACCTAATCAACTGATGAACACATTTCGTTTCTCTAGCTACTTAGTATGATCTTATTTGAGCACTAGATCTTGTTGCTCACATTTACCTAATTTTACTGATCTAGTTTGATAGGATGTAGTTGTGACTAGAGCCATGCCCTCATTTATATATACTACGTGCTATGCTGTAGACTATGACTGCTTAGTGTTTATTCACTAATCCGCAACTAAGAAGAGAAGACACGATAATAAAGTGTGGAAGTCTTCCAAGGCCATACATAGGTTTTAAAGGCATAAAATATTCCTTTTTTAATATAAATTTTTATTCATATGGTTAAAATGTATCAGGACAAGAGATAGTACGGGTCTTTCTCCTTCAGGAGAGAAAATAGCTTTACCTGAAAACTTCCAGAAACTACTCATTCTTACTAGGATTTTTAGTAGAAAAATTTGGTTTAATTAAAATAAAAGCATATGTTTAGTTTGTTAGAGAAAAGAAAATCACTGATGATTCTGTAAATCTTATGTTGGAATGCTTTCCAAAGATTGGAATGATTTCTAGAATTGTACAAGAAGAAGCCACCTTTTATTTTAAATCACCACCTAAAGACATAGCAAGAGACTGCAAATTAGTTTTCATTTTAATCTAATCTAACATTGTAGACTAGTTACCATTTGCTGTATATAATCTGTTGATTTACATGATTATTATTACTAGAATCAATTTGTATTTCACTTACCTTGAATATTATAGAAGTGAGGTTATAGCCAGATCAGCTATGGAGATGGCACTCAAGATTTCTGCCTATAACACACACAGCTGAATATCCCTGGCATTATTCCATTATGCATAAGATGCAGAGATCTATACAGATTTTTTCATATGTCTAAATAAGGTTTAAATACACACATAGTTTCCACCAATTATTCTTACCTAAAACTAAAACCAAATTTATCTAATAGTCAACCTTTTTTTCATCTAATGTTTATATATGACTAGTTTATAGTGGCTTCTATTAAAATAGTTCATTTTAATCCTCTTTATAATTTGGACTTCTGGTGTGGTGCTGTAGGATCAGAATTGAACTTCAAACCAAAAATTTCAAACCCACCCGCTGCTCCTCAGAAACCCTATGGAGGGGTTGGGGAACATGCAGCTGGTGAAATCATTTGGTCTGATTTTGCAAGGCAACCACAGTTCCAGCCATCATGTTGTTGTTGTTAAATGCTGTTGAATCAGTTCTGACCCTTTATAGGGTTTCTGAGGAACAGCTGGTGAGCTTGAACCGCTGACCTGTGATTTAAACCGACTTTGCAGTGAGGTGCATTAACCCACAGTGCCACACCAGGACTTCACCCATCACATTGTTGTTATTGTTGTTAAGTGCCTTCAAGTTGGTTTTGACCCATAGCGACCCGGTATAAGGTTTCCAAGGAGTGGCTGATGATGAGCTTGAGTCACGGACTATGTGGTTCAAATGACTTTGCAGTCCAGTGAATTAGCCCACAGCGCCATACCAGTACTCCAGCCATCACATTAGGGGTGTATTAATTGTTTGGCCAAATATAGCAGGCTAAGTATTCAGTTGATAATTTTGTATGACCCGCAAATAATGTAAAATGTGGCAAAAAAAGGTTTCCCACCTCTGCTGTGTGTGGCGCTGTGGGTTAATGCACTGGACTGCAAAGTCAGTTTGAGTCGCAAGGTTGGCGGTTCAAAGCTCACCAGCCGTTCCTCAGAAACCTTATGCATGTTTGCTATGAGTCAAAACCGACTCCACAGCACTTAACAACAGCAACAACCCCTGCTATACAGGGTTGCTATGAGTCAGAATCGACTCGATGGCACTTAATATCAGCATAATTTGGAAAGTATGACTATTGAATTTTGTTATTTAGCTTGAAATTTCAGATGTTTTAATATAAGTGAATCCAGATATTTTATTCATTAGCATGTCAAAATCATTTCATGTAGAAATACTCTTTAGTCTAAACATGCACATTACTTGGCCTTTTCAAAATACCAAAAAATTGATATTAATAGTTGCATTAACTTCATTATTTCTAGTTTCCTATAAAGCATTGCTTCATTCTTCAATGTATATTCTTTTAAAGTAATAGCAAATACCTCAAGAATGACAGAAAATAATTTCCTTTTCCGTTATGTAATACTGACATGTATGTTGAGCCTTAAAATATCTGAGCCTTGGTTCTGAGGGTTTAAACAATAAAAAGTATATATACAATTAGTTGCGTTCCTGGACCTGATTTTTTTCCTTTTCTTTTTAAATTTAAAACTTTAAGTTTTCAAGTGCTGTATTCATTATCCAAATATTTTGATCTAATGTTGATTTATGAATAAAATAAAAATTTAGTAATAAGGATCAAAATTTTACTTTTTACCCAGTTTGTCTTTTCATGTTTTGTTTTAAACTCAAGTTCCCTTTGAAGTTTTGACCTTTGTACGGACAAAGTCAAGAAAAGAGAAATCTTGTCTTTTAAACATTGGTTTCCCTTGCATTTTATGATTATGTACTTTTGCCAGAGCAACAATAAAACTTAGTTAAAACATGCTGTTGGATCAAGGTCAATTAGTCAGATTTTTTTAAGAACCAAGTTCAAGTCTCTGTGACTAAAAAGCATAAATTGTCTGTATCCATAAGAACCAAGATACATGATAGTTACAAATAACTAGAAGTTGGTATATAAAATGTACTGCATACTTTAAGAATGCTGCTCCTTTTTTGGTGTTTTTTTTTTTTTTTTGCCTTGTCCGATATGAGTGTATGGTATATTAAGAAAGGAAATAAAATTATTCCGGTAACACATTCTACATTACCTGGGCTATCTTTGCTGAGGAAAGCTGTATAATCTGGTAGCGTAGTGGTTATGAATCGGGCTGTGAGCCTCAAGGTCAGCAGTTCGAAACTACCAGCGGTTCCACGGGAGAAAGATGAGGCGGTCTGCTCCTGTAAAGATTTACAGCCTCGGAAACCCTGTGTAGAGTCG